GGTAAGCGCCTTGCTTCACAGGCGGTTTTTGGATGTTGGACGAAGGAACTTCCGGATTATGCACTTGTTTAGCTACATGGAGTGGAATTTTACTCAGACTGGGTTTCAGTATTCAATATTATCAAAAAGAGAAAGCATGTACCTTCATTACTGTTTCATACGGCCACGTTTTGGTTTTCAGGTGTAGCATTTGATTTGTCGATTATTGTATTTCCGAAAAAGTGACAATAATTGCATTTCAATCGTAGCGCGAAACACCTCTCTGAGAATTCACCACTCAAATTATCTTCACCGATGAACGGAGGCGGATCTGTTTGTGGCTAAACGGTGCGTGTGATCCAATGGCTGGACGGCATACCACAGGTAGCAGGTGAAACGAATTTAGCCTCTTTACAGAGAAGATACCTGCTGAAGTGTACACAACAGTTTTCATTGGTCAAGTTGAAACACCAGCGGCGATGCATGTGCTTGATCAATTTATGACAAATCAATAAAATCAAGCGCTTACCCAAATGCAAGATATGCATTGCTAATAGAATATTACAAATCTAGTTCCCAAATGATATGCGTAATGCCGGGACAAGGAGTTTGTCACAAGTTTGCATTCACCTGAGAGCTTGAAATTCAAACACATGCTATCAACTTCCTTGCACCTCGAGACCCAATTTCCGGCTCAATACCGGTGCATCAAATTCCGCTCCACCTGACAATAATTGTGTCAGGAGAAGTCGCGTCGTTCCAGTTCAGATGATAAAAATGTCTCATGAGTAAATTAAACAACTTATGGCTGGTCTCGGCCCCCAGAAAATTCGGGCGTTTCGGCAGTAGCTCAACTGTCGTTAAGGGATTGCAAATCGCTTAAAAACTGGTCCCTAACGACGGCCACTGAACCGCAATTTTTACTGCGCGTAAGTGTCACTGACGGAACCGAGAGATTTCTCCGTCATCTTGTTCAAGAAATTAACCAGGTCTTAGGTTGCAAGCAAGTAGCTGGATCACGGTTCTCTGCATACAAAGTGATTTTTTCCTTACTCAATCTGAGTGGTTTACAGAGCAAGTTGTCGAACCACTCTCCAAAGCAAGCAGATATGTTCTTGTTGGTCGGTCGGACGATATTTACTGACAGCCATTTTGTCGTTGGATTATTTTTTAATTCCAATAAAATATATAAAACGGTGTACTATCATCATACATCAACAGAGATATAAAATCATGGAGAATTTCTTCACAGGGCATGATGAGAACTCCTGACTATTCAAGGAGCTGCGTCTAAGCAAATGTAACCGGAACGCAGTGCGGGTCAGAAATAAAGGAAACGTACGATTACAGTGAGGTGGAATGACGGTCGGATTAGGTACCGAGTCACTCCAACGTCGACAAGACTACGACGGCGAGGGATGCCAAGCTCAAAGGTCACGTGGCCATCGGCGAATGAGGACCCGGTAAAACAGAACAACCAATGAAACTGCCGGACCGAACTACTAATCGCGGTCAAAGGTCGTCCCCGACTACCAACACGTATATTAACACACAAACATAACACCACTGAACGCACAACCACTAACCCACCGCTACGCACAACTACGCACTGATTATGTCACCTCGATTGGTGATGAAACTTTTGCATCCAAATTACCCAGCTCAGCGAACAAGCCAACGACCTTCTAAGCTACCTGAGCTAAGGAAATTCCCCGTAAAATGACCCAGTCGCAGAGTAATATTTCTGGACAACATATACATATACAACGCGCAATATTGTAACGAATGTTATTATTATTATGACGAAACTTGGCTATCCTCACTCCATTAATATCCTATCCTACAGGCGTTACGATCATCCTTCTGTGAAGTTTACCGCACACAAACTTAACGAGAATATCAGGTGTTTTGGGAGTAGACGTGTGAAGAGTAGATGAATGGCTACAGTATCACGTCCCCGCGACTACAAGAAATTTTCAAGGTCAAAGACATCTGACAACTTTAAATTGGTTGCCTAAACTAACACAATGTTTTTTGAGTTTTTTCACTCACAGGACGCTAGCACAAAGGCTTGTTTATAAAATCACGTGAAATTTAGTTATCGCTCAGCTTGAGGGTTCATATGATTCAAATTGGTTGGGCATCCAAGGTCATTGGATGCCATCGAGAATTCATTCTTGGGGCTCCGCTGCATGAACCGAAGTCCTGATTGCATTCGCGGCCGATTAATCCGCTGCAGGCCCCAACTTTGCACCGAAACTCAATCAATGAACCCTTATTCGATATTGTGGGCAGCAGGCTCAATATGGATACTGTGAAAATTTGTCATCAGATCAAATTTATTCAATTGAGGATGGATTGACCTTCCACTGCCACTGTGTTTCACACAGACCATTAAACGTCTGGCATGACACTGGAAAGTCTATACAAATCACTGCGATCTCTACAGTGTCGATAGCTTCGTGGACAGCTTGACAATAGTTGGAAGTACCGTTTTGATTATCTAAAAAAAACAGATAATTTTGAGTTTGCAGGTAAAGGCTCGTAACGGATGATTGCTAAAGTCTTCTGGCCCTAGTTTCCACTTTTGACCTGAGGCTGTTTTTCGAAGTAAATTTCGTCAACTCTTTTTGTTTGACTGTCTGAGATCCGCGCATATATCTATGGCTGAATGAAAATATGTCTGTATTTTAGAAATACTTTCGCCCCAAACAAAGCAATTTTAGCCGGTGTACAACCTCACTTGTACTTTTCAGAAAAAGAACTTACATTTCCTGCCTCCTCTACAGACTACAGACGTTGCCACGAGCTGACTAGCTAGACAAAATAGGCACAGGGTTGTATATCACATGTACCTGCGGAAAGTTTAAAACATCTGAACTGGGTATGCCTATT